TCTCCTTGCTTCCCAGCAACTTGCCACCTTATATTTAAGTCTAAAGTAACTTAAAATATCCTTGCAAGTGGGTAGAAAACGATAGCACACTAAAGAAACTGTTCAAAAACAGTGAAGATTCGAAACAGCACGTGTTGGGCGACCGGTCTCTAGCTTCTTGCGACCGGTCTCATTTTGGCAAAGTGGCAAGCGACCGGTCGAAAGAAGCTTGCGACCGGTCGCCAGAAGTTCTTGCTCCAGACTTCGAACCTGCCTGAAAACGACCGGTCGCATGCTTCGTGCGACCGGTCGCTTTTGGGCAGAGTGTCCTGAGACCGGTCGCTAGAAACGGGCGACCGGTCGCTTCCTGTTCTGTCTCTGAAGCTTGTATCCTTTATGCGAGCCAATTTTCACAATAGAGAGTTGCAGTGTTTGTATGGACGAGTTTGAGGGAGGAACAACTGTCGCTTGCATGCCATGCTCTCATGTGTTTCATGGAGAGTGCATAGTAAACTGGCTCAGACAAAGTCACTACTGTCCTGTTGCCGCTTTGAGGTTCCGACTGATTGATGAAAACCTTTGCTTAATTGGTTCGATGTTCCTTTGAAGTTTGTCATTCTTTTAAGATCTCCTTGGATTGCATGAATGTTGTTGTAACTTGTAATTGAATTACATATATAAATATATATGATCCATTACGGTTTAATATTGTTCAGTGCTTTGCTTTGGTTTTTTACTCTTGAGTAGGGGTGGGCAGGGTATGAGATGACACGGGATGTCATCCCGGTGTCAATCCCGAATAGAGGAATCGGTACGGGATGACATGGGATGGGAGTTTTTGAAAACACGTTCAAATCATACCGGACCCAAACGGGATCGGTATGATTCGGTATCAATGTTGATACCGTAAAAAATCTGCAAATTTTCAAGTTCAATCAAATCTGAAAATCAAATCTAATAACAAACAAAACAATCAATCAAGAGTTCAAGTTCAAGACATTTCAACAGTCAAATTACAAAGCAAGAAATGGAAATCTCTCACATAGACTTTTACAAAACAAATCAAGTCAAATTAAGTACAAACTTCAAAGCAAGAAATGGAAATATTAAATGGCATGTCCCTTTCCCTTTGGATCTACACCAAATGTGTTTGTACTAGTGGCAGCAAATGTGTTTGTACTGGTGGCAGCAGCTTCAGTACTTGCATATTCTGCAAAAAATAAATCCACACATGTTCAACACTCTCAAATTAAACCGTCTATTTAATATTTTTGTATTGGTTGGAAAGAATTTAACAAACTAAGTGCTTATGGCCTAAAATTTTTAATGATAGTAAATTAATGCACAATTTATCTGCTTATGAGAAAACAAACCATGTGGGCAAACTGGTGTAGGGAAGGACAGTTGTGAAAATAAGGAATATGGTGAGAAGTGAAATGCATATTTGCTTAGATTCATCCTTGAATACAATTCAGCAAGTAAATTCGGTCTCTTAGATACCATTTTTTTTATAACATTTCTCACAAAAACTAGATTCATGCAGAGAACAGAAGTATCAGATGGATATTATTAATAGATTCATAGTTACAAGCTTAGCAAAAGCAGTAATAATAGTAAAAACAAGTTTCGGGGCCTCTTACCATTCCAAATTCCCAATTGGGGCTTCGGGCTACGTTGGAGAGCTGCAGATGCAAGCATAATATACCTGCAAAGCTGCATCAAATAACAGTCACAAAAAAACAGAAGTATCAGATATGTTCTGTTATGTGACTGTCACAAAAAAAACTGTCTATTTAATATTTTAGGAGATCAAACATATTAATTTGAACACGAAGTATCAGATATGCACATGGTTTCTGTACATTAATATCAGATATGTTTGAAGTATCAGAAACCATGTACAGAAACATATTAATGTTTTTTTTTAAAAAAAAAAGTATCATATATGTTTGAAGTATCATATATGGGTTTGGGGTGATGAATTAGGAGGTGGGTTATTATAGAAAAGGGAAACGGAGTGGCCCAACTTACAAGCGTTGTGACTGTCACAAAAAAAAAACCGTCTATTTAATATTTTAGGAGATCAAACATATTAATTTGAACACGAAGTATCAGATATGCACATGGTTTCTGTACATTAATATCAGATATGTTTGAAGTATCAGAAACCATGTACAGAAACATATTAATGTTTTTTTTTAAAAAAAAAAGTATCATATATGTTTGAAGTATCATATATGGGTTTGGGGTGATGAATTAGGAGGTGGGTTATTATAGAAAAGGGAAACGGAGTGGCCCAACTTACAAGCGTTGTATTACTTGTTTAAGAAAAAGAAGATAATAATGTAAAAGGGACAGGTAGTTGTGCCTGAAATCTGAGCACAGCAAGTGTTTTTGGCAAATGCTACGGAATTGTGTGTTGAATTGAAATGGTGTGTTCTTCTTGGACAATGGACACTGACAATGGAGATGGTCTTGAATCTATTTAATATTTTTCTTTAAGAACAAATCCCACTCAACTTCTTTAAGAACAGAACAGAAGTATCATATATATATACATAAACTGACAGTAGCCTAGCCCACTGCCCATATGCATGTCAATAATTCATGTCTTCCCAAAATCAAAACCAATCCATCCTAAATAATAAGAGAATTTATACCATATGGAATTAATAGATTCATGTCTTCCCAAAATCAAAACAATTTCTCAAATTTGAAAACAAATAATTTCAAACCAAAACAAGTTTCCATATATTATGAATACCTGAGAATCTGAGATCGGACTGAAATTGGTAGCAGAGGGTAATGGGCTTGAAGAAGAAGATCCCACAGAAATTCGGAGAAGCACGTTTGATGTCAAACAGAGAGAGATGGTTATTAGGGTTCGATTCGACTTCGACACAGAGATGTTTGGTTATTAGGGTTCCACTTCAAGAGAGAGAGAGAGAGAGAGAGAGAGAGAGAGAGGAGAAGAAGAAGAGGAGATTGAGATTTTAGATGGATTCGAATCGATGGTGGAGGGAAGGGAAGGAGAGAGGAAAAAAGCTTCTGATCTGAAAAATCTTTCGTTCGTTCGTGTGAGAGAGAGAGATATCTGAAAAATCTTTCGTTCCTTCGTGTGAGAGAGAGATGTGAGAGATATATTAAATCTGAAATTTTGGAAATAATATTTTAATATTTATTATTTAATATTAATTAGTTACTATACGGTACGGTATGGCACCAAACGGGATCACAAATCTGATACCGGTGTCGTGCCAAACAGTAACGGGATGACACGGTTTCATCCCGTTTAAGCATCAACACCAAACGGTTTGGCACGAGTTTGACACGGAATGGCACGGTTTCGGGACGGTATCGGTATTCCGGTTTTGATGCCCACCCCTACTCTTGAGGCTTAATTTGTTGTTCCTTGGTTAATTTTGAAGTTGTTCGGATCATACAAGCGGCAACTTTTTAGCCAGTAAATAGATTCACCATGGATACAAGCGCAACATACATATATAGGATACAGCATTAAAAGTTGCAGGTGGTTGTTCAATTGAGAGATAATAACATCAACAAAAATCCATGATCACCATAGCATCAATGCCACATCTCTAAACTCCTTTCCCAAATTGTGCTTTGCCAAATTCCACCTCTGTGTCTCTGGTGTGGTTTTGGATTTTAGACACGGTTGTTTAAGGCACTAGTACTACCTGACATTGAAGTGCACATTGGTACAGCCGTTACAGCTATTTGAGAATTACATGATGTGGGTTAGCCAGGGCCCACACCCTCATGCCCTTGTAAAGCAACCTTGTCAACTGGATATGTATAGTACTTAAACACATTAATTTGAGTTTTAATCTGCCGGGTGTTAATTCTTGTTAATGAATCTCCTTAAAGCAAATCAAGTTTGTGTGAAAATACTTGATTTATGGCGCTACCAATAAACTTTGCCAAATCTAAAGAAAATCCGAGTGAGTAAAATGTGCAAGTGCCTTGTAGTGCAACCTATGTCTTCAATGTTATTGCTTGTAAAAGGAAAAAGAAAAAAGTGAAAAGTACATAGAGGTGGCTTCCCTAACTCACTCACCCTAGGATGCATGCCAATGGGTGAAACCCTAGGATTTATGACAATGGGTGAAAGTTGGAAACTGAGGACATTTTTACTGAAGATGGAAGTGGTCCTAGAATGAGCCTGTTCTAGAATTTCATAAGGAGATTCTCGGATGAAGGATCTTTCTATTTTGTCAACTGTCATGATGTTTTTTTTATTTAGTCGGTAGGTTGAAATTGAAATGATACTGAATAAAAAGCCCATGGACCACATGCTGCAAGAGTCCAATGAATGCAAGCAGCTAGGAAGTGTGAGCTAGCTAAGGGTCCCCCCAAACACTTCAGTAAATAGAAAGTCACTTGTCCATGTTCTCAACAACGATGGTCTCCCTTGCCCGCCAACAAGTGCCTAATGCTGTGTGCCGGTCTGGATGGCACTGACTCCTCTGAGCTTGAGGTTGTCTTGTTGTCTCTCACCTAGCAATTGGTTATCTAGACGCAGTCCTTGTGCTGTGTTAGGTGTTTTTAATATTGTTTCCTTTGTTTTGTTGTCTGTGCTCAGTGATCATGTGCTGGCCAGTTTGATAATTTGGGAGTCTCTTCTTTTGGGTTCTCCCCTATTATACGAAGTTCGGTTAATCCGATTTGACCCAAAAAAAAAAAATTCAGGGTTTAGTAAGACTCCACTGAATTAAAGAGGAAATGCTAATATAGGATCAAAATCCCAATTCCCTGAACAAGTTCAAAACCTTATATGGAAAACATAGAATGCAGAGAGCAACATCATGAACCAAACACCAAAACAGCAGAAAATGGCTGGTCTAGCCAACCGGAGTTCCCCTAAACACTTCCTTAATGGGGTACAATATATCTCCCTTTTTCTTCATAAGGGAATGCAAGCAACTCAGTATCCACTATATATGATCGATCATGAAGGGCACATATGTCATTTGATATAGACTTCATTTATAAAACGGTGGGCTTCATCAGAATGGGAGGACCAGTAGAGAAAAAAAAAATGGCAGAGTTGAAGTTTTGAAAATTGAACCTGGTCAGGATTGCAGTCACTGGAGAGAACAAAAGTGAAGTGAGTGGTTTGTGGCCATAAGCTCTCACAAGTCTCAACCCTTCGTTCCCTTTCATATCCCAACTTGTCCCTTTCAGCATTTTCTTGGATGCAAAAGCATACATTCCAGAAGCAGGTCTTAGCAAGTAGCCACAGCACATATGAGGTTATGATCAGCCCTGAGGCAATCTGATAGATCTCCTTGAGAATAAGTGTGGGCCAGGTAATTAATTTCAAGCCTTCTGTTATTATGTGCCGCGATTGATTGTATATACCAGAATCTACTAAGTACTAGTGCTTTTATATATGAGTTGAAAACGCTGAAAAGGAAAGGCTTCTCTCATGGAGGAAAATGCATGTGAACAGAGGATAGAATGGCACATGACAATCACCTCAATATTATTCCTTTCTTCCATCTAGCCTCCAATGTCGTCTAGGTGCATTACTTAAAGATCGATTTCCTCCTCCGATTTTCTTCCTATTGAACAAGGACAAGGAAATAAGGAACAAGGCAACATAGACACAACCAAACACAAAGAGGGCCAGACACTATATATATAGCAGAGGTAGTTGCAACTCATAACCAACAAACCAAAACAAGCTTTGAAAGAAGTAGAAAGAAAGAAGTAGGAACTTTGTTAGGTGTCACCTAGAGTTCCCTTGACCACTTCATTGGGAAATAGTATTCTTTCAACTATACATCCTACTGAAGTGTTTGGGGGAACTCCAAGTGGCATTTGATTTTACAAAGAATAATGAAGGGGCTTATCCATTACAATGTACTTATTGTAGCAGCTCTAATAAAGAAGGATGAATGTTGTCAGGTGTCACCGAGAGTTCCCTTACTCACTTCATTGGGAAATAATTATTTCTGATCAATTATATATCCTACTGAAGTGTTTGGGGGAACTCCTGGTTGCATTTGACTATACAAAATACGAAAGGGCTTATCCGTGGCAATGTACTTATTGTAGAAGCTCTAATGAAGGAGGAGGAAAAATTGTCGAGTGTCACTGAGAGTTCCCTTGACCACTTCATTGGGAAATAATTCTTTTTGATCAATTATATATCCTACTGAAGTGTTTGGGGGAACTCTTGGTGGCATTTGATTTTACAAAGAACGAAAGGGCCTATCCGTCGCAATGTACTTATTGTAGAAGCTTTGATGAAAAAGGAGGAAATATTGCCAGGTATCACCGAGAGTTCCCTTGACCACTTCATTGGGAAATAATTCATTTTGATCAATTATATATCCCACTGAAGTGTTTGGGGGAACTCCTGGTGGCATTTGATTTTACAAAGAAGAACAAAGCGCTTACAAGCTTTCAACATTTCCACCACCATGGATTTCGAGTTTTAGTCCCCCATCGCAATGTACTTGGTGTATGAAGCTCTGGTAATGATCTAGTTTTCTACATTTCTCTTTTTGCAGCTAATCTTAAACTGTATGCACGCACACTTTATTTTTCATGAATTGATCAGCATGGAATAACATTGGACAGTTCTGCAGCAATAGCAGCAGCGCAGTAAGGACTTATTCTCAGCAATGTCATACAATAACTGGTTCTTATATTTTCTTCAGTTTTGATTTTCTTTTCAAAAACTCCATTGATCGTTAACTTTTTCTATTTTGTTTTGTTTGCCACAAGAGATCAACAACAGGAGAAAACCAAATCAATATAGACAGTTGCAGCAAAACAGTCCAAGAAGGGACGAACCTGACAGAGCAAAGTTTGTGCCTAAAACTAGAGGCTGAGGACAATAGGACTTGTTGGCTGCCTCTGTATTGCCCACTAGACAATTAATTCTATGGCCAAGAATGATACAGAATATTAGAAGCAAAAGTGGAAAAGTCAGCCATTGGATTTACAGACAACAAAGCAAATTAAGGAAAACAAGTTATATTATGTTTAATTTTCTTCCTAGCTTCCATGATTTTACATTGAATTAATCTTTGGTTCTGTTCAAACAAAATACTAAAACCTGCCATGGCCATTGTTACCTCATGATGGCTGATGAGCTCATCATCCTGAGGGAAGTTGAGGAGGAACCTCCTCATCACATAGACAGTTAAGTTGAATTATGCCCAAATGAGCCAATACAAGGTTTCCCATATGCCTTTTTTTTGTCACAAATTTTCAGTACCAATATTATATCACCACAAAAATAGGATACGAAACTCTAAAGAATTTTTTAATTAGGGTTTCATGCTGGAGAGAGAGGAAAGAGAAAGTCTTACGACCCCGTTTAAGGAATGGGCCCAATGTTAAGATTTAACATCCAAAAGCACTATGGCCCCAACAGAAAAAAAATATGCAAACGAAGTTGTTCCAATAGAAATGAGATGGGCCTGGAGGAGGTGGTCCAAAACAAAATACTTTCATGCAAACACCCAAAATAATCAGAGAGTTGTTATGCTCTTGGAACCTAAAATTAGGATTTTTCCCTATAAAAAAATTATCTAAAATCGTAATTGACTAAATATTATTGCAAGGAAAATACTTCTCTCATTCCCAAGTTGGAAATTCTATATTCTTGCCAATAATAGTATGATATGTGTGCATAAATTTTCTTTTTGTGTTTTTGATGAATTAGTTTTGCATATATGCAAACTGTGATCTGCCGAAAGGATGAGTATCTCATTCCAGGGAAAGAGGCAAACAATATCCTTATTCCAATCGTTGACTTGACTCATGCAATCGATCAACCAAATAATTAAAGGTCCACACTAGTTAAGAGTTGACCCGGTCAAACACATGTGAAATTGGTACTTAGGTGAAAGAGGTAAATTAAACCCCAATTAGAAAGATCTATTACAATAATGCTCAAATAATCCTAGAAACAATATGACTAGTCAAATACTAGTCATTGACTTACGAATAAACAAGCAAAGCACATACTCATCACAAATCAAATATAAGAACCTGCAAGCCTAGAAGATAACCACGTGACAACCTAGGCACTCGGAAGGACCTGTCAATCTAGGCATCCCCTATGCTAGCAACAAATAGAGTGATCAGTGTGTGAACATTCATCAACATTTCAGAGATAACAGATACAATATGGCTAGTCATAAAAATAAGGACAACACCCCAGAAATGTTCACCCAGAAACCCACAATTGGGAAAAACTGGGGGTCATCACTCTGACTAGGCAATCCATTAAGTCAAGAAGATTCTTACAGGCAAAAGTAATCACCAACTCAAACAATCCTAGATCTATTAAGGAAATGAGCACTACCTCCCTGTGCAACCTTCTTCTCTAAACTTAGTTGAGATAGTAGCTTGTCCTTCATGGAAATGGCAGCTAATCCATCAGCTTCTTCACCCAATGGCACTGCAACTCAGCTCCGGATCGTCACCGATGAATGAAATATAGATTCTAAAATGAAATGGTCAATTTCTTCAAGAAACCATCCTCTTGAAGAAATCAACAGAGAATCTGATCTAGCTAGGATGATGAAGTGTTTAAACTAAACTCTAGATGTAGATTTCAAAAACCAATCTTCAAAAACTCATAATGAAAATCCAAATCTCACTAAGTAAAGAATTCAAAGTAAAAGTTTTACTCTAAAAAATTCTCAATGGGTGAAGTGGATTTCAAAGATCAAAACATATTTTAAAAAACAATTTTAAAACCTCATAATGAAAATTGGAGACTTTCCTAAGAGAAGAAGATGCAGAGCAAAACCAAAACTCTCAAAAACCTCTCTCTATAAAAGTGACGGCTATAGGAGCCAAGACTCTTTTACCCAAAATAGCTAGGTCAGAAAATAATCCACATGGCAGCTAATAATTGAAGCTATAAAGAGACAAAAATCGTTAGGAAAGAAAACCTACAGCTGGCCAAGTGTGAGTCTCACGTGAGATTTTAAATGAGCTATCAGTAATGGATGACTAGTCATCACGTTGACTCGATATGTCCTAATATATATGCAATGCATGATTTACCTTTGAAGATCTTGATTGCATCGTGCCACTGTTGATCTCAGCCACAAGAATCATCTTCAACTAGACTAACCTAGTCTAATTAACCTTGAGCTTGATGAATTATATGTGCAATTACAAAGTTGTCAAGGGAAGCTAAAAACCTTAGCTAAACATAACATAACAACATGTAAACATGAAAGCTTTAGAGCGGGGGGGTTTTCCCCCGAATCGCGTCGGATTTTCGGTGTTCTTTGGCTTTTGGTCCTTTTGAGTTTAAAGATCCAATTTTTGCCCCAATTCCTCCAAAGCTAAAAGGTACATTAGGGTTTCATGCTAGAGAGAGAGAGAGGAAAGAGAAAGAACCATACAAACCCATTTAAGGAGTTTATTGACAAAGGAAATAGGCCCACGTTAAGATTTAACATCCAAAAGCACTATGGCCCCAACAGAATAAATATCCAAGCAAAGTGTTCCAGTAGAAATGAGCTGGGCCCCGGCACTTTCACGCAAAATAAACAGAGTTGTAAAGTTATTTTATTTTTTTTGTTCAAAGAGAGGGGCTATGTTATTGGAACCTAAAATCCTATTTTGCCTTTAAAAAATCTGATATCATAATTGACTAAGATTTCAAGTATATTGACCCATTGACCCCAAATTTTTTTATATACAATTGATAATCTAAATTGTTTTTCATGGAGGTAAAAGATGAATTAGTCATAACACAAATATATCCTTTCTAATCCTCACAAAATAAAATTTAAAAAAAAAAAAAAACTCGTTCAACTCTATCTTATTTCTTGCTTTAACAAAATTTTGAATCTTATGACTTATCTAATCAAATTCAATCCTAAGCACTTGATTTATGCTAGGAATAAAATTTGAATTAAAAAAGAGTTATGGAAGGAAATCCAAGATATATATATATATATATCTCTCCAAGCAATAGCTAGCTGGCTAACACAAGTTAGTGGACCGGGCTAGCTCCATTTAAAATGCCGGTTGCTTGTTTGAATTACCAACTTTACTTGAGATTAAAAAATGTTTCTAATTAACCATGAGATGTGGTGTGGTGGTAGCTCACCTCATTCCTTAACCATGAGGTTGGAGGTTCGATCCCCGCACATGGGAATGGAGCGCATTTCGTGGCCAGCCGTTTACCTCCATTGGGAGAGCTCCCACGGCGAAAGGGATTAGTCACTGCTGTAGGCGGTGGATACCCTTGGGTCTTACCTAAAAAAAATGTTTCTAATTTTTCCTAAAACAAGTGCGTGTTTAAGAAACTTGTTGCGCGGAAGAAAGCGAATTTGGAAACAAACCACCCTAATTTTTCCTCAAATGTTTCCAATCTCTATATATACTTGTTAGTCCCATCCCTAACTCTACACAACTCTAAAATATTAGCTACTTCTTCCCTTTAAGAAACTATTGCTCATCACTGATCATCAATTGCCATGGACGACGAAGCAATTGAAGTCCATCACGAGGAGAGGCACTTCAGCTTTAAAGCTTCTCCAAGTTGAGCAATGGCAACAAGATCACCACTTGGCCTGCGCCGATTCGTTCAACTCTCCATCCATAGAATCTTGACTTAATCTGATAAGCTAAGTATAATGTGACTTAGGGGGCTCCAATGCAAGCCTACGTGTATTGGAGATTTTGTTTTGAAAATGTAAGACCTTAAATATAGGAATGAAAGTGATTGAAGAGGATGTGTGCTAAAAATAGAAAAGCTGTGGCCATGGGGAGAACTTGTGACCACTCACTTCAACAATATTCCCACCCTCTCATGTTCCCCACAATTCTGACCAGGTTCATCATCAATTTAGGTCATTGGGCAACCCTACAAGGTCTGAGGATATCATGTGTCTAATCTAATGGTTCTCCTACGTTGTACGTAGTACATACGAGAAGGGCTATAGCAAGGCCTTCTTAATTCAGATATCATGAATGAGCAGTAGCCTAGCTAGCTACTATAAATATTGTAGGTAACTCCCCTACACAAGAACACCACAACAAGAGAAAGAAATCAGAAGAGATCGTCAGTTGTTCCTTAGAGTTCCCTTGATCACTTCATTGGGGAAATGATCACGGGTAGTACATATGTACCCTAATTTATCCTACTGTGTTCAAAGATTACAGAAAAATTGTCAGTGAACCTAGACGCAACTATGAACTAGCTTCATGGGAATATCTGTAAGACAATAACTTGTCTTACGTGAATGTGGTCTTCTAATCCTATAAGGATTTGGCAATTCACACTGATCTAGGAGTGCAGACTCAAACATTATCTGCGGTTCCTTTTCTAAAGAGTGTTTTAATAAGAAAAGAACTTAGAGAATTCCTAATTCCATATGGATTGAAACACACTACCCTAATGCAATCTGGATTACTTAAGTATTTCTTAATGGGCAGGAAACTTAAGTAAATGCATATAAATAGAAGTCCCTTCTCTAGCAGTCGATCTAACCTACTCATACAGAAATCTCACCCCATAAGAGAAAGAGCTTAAGTACTGCATAGAAGAAGAAGATCTCTATCCTACCTACTGAAGCCATGTCTGATCAAGGTTAGTATTATTGAATAAAGGCTTGAAATAACTTACAATATCGACTTCGAGTAGTGTTGTTAATATTATGTTAACTCGCAATTGTACGGGGCAATTAGTAGTATAGCAAGACAAGTACGAGGTCGTACCCACGAAGACTGAGAAGTTAAAACTAGTTATGTACTTAGATTACCAAATTCAAGAAAGTAGGAGGTTATGTCTAAAACAGAATTTAAAACAAGAGTGGTTGTGATTGTTGAACAAAAGAAGCAAAATGAAATTGCAAACAAAAACAAGTAAACAAATGTAACAAAGAGTGGTTTTAAGAGTTGGAAAACAGATTTTGAGACTAGGGCATTCGAATCACCATAACAATTCAATTCTGGGTTATAAAGATTCAAGTAACAAGTCTAATTCAGATTCAAAGATTGATTCTAGCTAAAGTATGATTAGGCCATGGTGTTTGGTCCTAACCTTGTGTTCCTAATTCCCTAATTTGATCATTAGTTGTCTAACCTAAAATTAAGCATTAGGAACCCATTAAACATAGAAGAACATTTTAAACAACCAAGTATGTATCTAATCCCTGTTGTCGAATGTCCATACATACTCTTCCATTTCATAGTTCAATTCGAATTAAAGCATGGTGTATACTCTTAATTCAAACCAAGATAGCTAACATGCAAGCCTAAATGGTGATCAATCATTCAAACTAGCATATTAACTTATAAGCATAATGAATAAGAACAAAAACCATAATTGAAACTTGGAAACTAATT